TGCAGTGGCACAATCACAGCTCACTGTGGTCTTGAGCTCCTGGGCTCAAATAATCCATCCACCTCACCCTCCACCTCACCCTACTGAGTAGCTGGAACTACAGGTGTGCAACACCACACCTAGTTAATTTTTTCTTTTTCTTTCCTTTTTATTATTACTATTTTTTGAGATGGAGTTTTGCTCTTATTGCCCAGGCTGGAGTGCAATGGCATGATCTCAGCTCACCTCAACCTCCACCTCCCGGGTTCAAGCGATTCTCCTGCCTCAGCCTCCTCCTGAGTAGCTGGGATTACAGGCATGCGCCACCATGCCCAACTAATTTTGTATTTTTAGTAGGGGTTTCTCCATGTTGATCAGATTGGTCTTGAACTCCCGACCTCAGGTGATCCACCTGCCTCGGCCTCCCAAAGTGCTAGGATTACAGGCACGAGTCACTGTGCCTGGCTTTTCATCTTTGAAACTGAATCTCGCTCTGCCGCCCAGGGTGGAATGCAGTGGCGTGATCTTGGCTCACTGCAACCTCCACCTCCCAGGTTCAAGCGACTTTCCTGGCCCAGCTTCCAGAGTAGCTGGGATTACAGGCATGTGCCACCATGCCTGGCTAATTTTTTTTTTTTTTTTTTTGAGATGGGGTCTCACTCTGTTGCTTAGGCTGGAGTGCAAGGGTGCGATCTCGGCTCAGGGTAACCTCCGCCTACTGGGTTCAAGTGATTATCCTGCGTCAGCCTCCCGAGTAGCTGGGATTACAGGTGCCCGCCACCATGCCCAGCTAATTTTCTGTAGTTTTAGTAGAGACGGGGTTTCACTACATTGGCCATGCTGGTCTCTAACTCCTGACCTCAGGTGATCTGCCCACCTCGGCCTCTCAAAGTGCTGGGATTACAGGCATAAGTCACCGCGCTGGCCTTTGGTAGGAAAATTTAAGAGGGTGGCAAAAACTTAAGATACACAAAATGTTTGTACAATTTTTTTATCTTTTTATTTTTTTTATTTTTTATTTTTTATTTTTTTTGAGACGGAGTCTCGCTCTGTCACCCAGGCTGGAGTGCAGTGGCCGGATCTCAGCTCACTGCAAGCTCTGCCTCCCGGGTTCACGCCATTCTCCTGCCTCAGCCTCCCGAGTAGCTGGGACTACAGGCACCTGCCACCTCGCCCGGCTAAGTTTTTGTATTTTTAGTAGAGACGGGGTTTCACTGTGTTACCCAGGATGGTCTCGATCTCCTGATCTCGTGATCCGCCCGTCTCGGCCTCCCAAAGTGCTGGGATTACAGGCTTGAGCCACCGCGCCCGGCCTATTTTTTATTTTTTGAGATAGGGTCTTGCTATGTTGCCCAAGGTGGTCTGGAATTCCTGGTCTCAAGCGATCTTTCTGCTTCAGCTTCCTGAGTAGCCCCAAATAGCCAATAGTTATTGTTGTTTTTTGTTTTGAGACGGAGTCTTGACTCTGTCACCCAGGCAGGAGTGCAATGGCACAATCTCGGCTCACTGCAACCTCCACCTCCCGGGTTCAAGCATTTCTCCTGCCTCAGCCTCCCGAGTAGCTGGGATTACAGGTATGTGCCACCACGCCCGGCTACTTTTGCATTTTTAGTACAGACAGGGTTTCTCCATGTTGGTTAGGCTGGTCTCAAACTCCTGATCTCAAGTGAACCGCCCTCCTTGGTCTCCCAAAGTCCTGGGATTATAGGCGGGAGCCATAGTACCTGGCTGATCCTTTCTTTACTTGGCATTTTCTTTTTTTTTTTTTGAGACAGAGTGTTGCTCTGTCGCCCAGGCTGGAGTGCAGTGGCGCGATCTCGGCTCACTGCAAGCTCCGCCTCCCGGGTTCATGCCATTCTCCTGCCTCAGCTTCCCAAGTAGCTGGGACTACAGGCGCCCGCCACCACGCCCGGCTAATTTTTGTGTTTTTAGTAGAGATGGGGTTTCACCATGTTGGCCAGGGTGGTCTTAAACTCCTGACCTCAGGTAATCCATCCACTTTGGCCCCCACAAAGTGCTACAATTACAGGTGTCAGCCACCACGCTCGGCCTGCAAAACCCTACCTTCATAAAGTTTTTAAAAATTAGCTGGGCATGATAGGTAACAGAGTCACACCCTGAAGAAGGAAAGAGGAAAGTGGAGGGAGAGAGGCAGGAAGATAGGAAAATAAATCTGCCAGGGTCTAATGAAGCTCAGTGACGATGCCACCATGCTACTCCTAGGTATTTAAAAGAAATGAAAATTTATCTTCCCCAAAATACTCTTACAGTACAAGTTTATTAACAGTGGCCAAAGACCAGAAACAATCAATTAGCCAAGAACAGGTGGGTGAAACTATATTGGCTACATTACAGTATAGCCACACAATGAAATACCACTCAGCAATGAAAACGAGCTGTTGATATCCCCACAACACAGACAACTCTCAAAAACACTTGTTGGGGCCAGGCAGAATGGCTGATGTAATCCTAGCACTTTGGGAGGCTGAGATGGGCAGATCACATGAGGCCAGGAGTTCGAGACCAGCCTGGCCAACATGGCGAAACCCCCGTCTCTACTAAAAATATGAAAATTAGCCAGGTGTGGTGGCGGGCGCCTGCAGTCCCAGCTACTCAGGAGGCTGAGGCAGGAGAATTGCTTGAACCCGAGAGGCGGAGGTTGCGGTGAGCACAGATCACGCCACTGCACTCCAGCCTGGGTGACAGAGCCAGACTCCGTCTCAAAAGAAAAAAAAAAAGTTTTGTTGAGCAAAAGTCAGACACAAAAGACAACCTATTGCATGCTTCTACTTATGTTAAATTCAAGGAGACAAAACTATCATGGAGTGATAGAAATCCAAATACTGCAAAATGTTCTCTCCACTCGAATCATTCCAAGATCCCTATTCTTTTTCAGAGCCTCCACTGTGGAGGACCCCAGGCCGCAGATTGATAGCAACTGGGATAGTTCCGGTTTCAGCGCCCAGCGCAGAAGCCACGCTTCGAAAGGGTGGGGCACACGCCAAGGGGCAACCATCTGGTCTTCAGTTATCAGTACTAAACATGGCGGCTCCCACCGAGCACCACACCCAGATCACGAGACCACGCGCTGCCGGCCCCAGTCTGTCGGCTCACTGGGGCGCGCCTACTTTTAGATTGACCAATGAACGCGAGGCGTAAGGCACGCCCTCTTTCTTCCCGTCTCCGCCAATAATCTCCCGCTCCCTTCCACAGGACCCAATCACTGCTTCAGCCTCTCTTGAATGAAAAGGCAGCGGTCCAGTGAGCAGCGCAGCAGCCCGACGCAAGAGGCAGGAAGCGCGGCAGCTCGTGTCTGAGCGCCCGGCGGAAAACCGAAGTCAGAAGGCTCTCTTAGCAGCACGCGGAGAAGAACGGGGAGCTAGGTGAGCGGCGGATCCCGGGCGCGGGGCAGCGGTGGATCCCGGGCGCGGGGCAGCGGTGTGGGGACGTCTGACCTGAGAGCGAGAGGACTAGGGGAGACGTTGGGAGCTAAGGGGAGGAGGAGAAAGGGTCGCGAGACGAGGGGGGGCGGGGCGGTTGGTGTGTCAGAGCGCTGTGTGTTGGCCGTTGCGGACCGGGGCGCATGCGCTAGGGGTGGGCCGGCCGTTGGCGCGCGGGGCTCGGGGCCGGCTTCTGGGAGGGGCTGTCATGGCCGACGGCGCTCCGAGTCCCACTTGGAGTCCGTCAGTCCGTCCGAATAGACCCCACGGCGGCCTGGGGCCATTTGGAGAGGGACGAGGGGGTGACGCCGGGGTCTGGGGCCTGGGTGGGAGAAGTCGGAGCTTCCAGTTTTCAGGGGTTTCTTTGGGTCCAAGGGACTTGACCCTTTTCCCAGTTTACTTTCTTCTTGGTCTACTTTTTACGGGATTCGGGGTTCTGAGATTTGGGGCACATAAGACTTTCTTTTGGAAGGCCGGGCGCGGTGGCTCTTGTAATCTCAGCACTTTGGGAGAGACCAAGGAGGGCAGATCCCTTGAGGTCAGGAGTTCGAGGCGAGCCTGGCCAACACGGTGAAACTCCGTCTCTACTAAAAAAAAAAACAAAAAACCGAGCGTGGTGGCGGGCGCCTGTAGTCCTAGCTACGCGGGAGGCTGAGGCACGAGAATCGCTTGAACCCGGGAGGCAGAGGTTACAGTGAGCCGAGATGGCGACACTGCGCTCCAGCCTGGGTGACAGAGCGAGATTCTGCCTCAAAAAAAGAAAAAAAGAATTTGTTTTGGAAATAGGAGTCCCCAGGTGGGAATAAACTCCGGGGTGGAAAGCCTGCCAGGGGACACTTGAGGGTAAATGGGTATACGTGGCGTGTCTGGGTTGTGAGTTCCCTGCTGTCACCTTTCAAGTTCATCCGCTTCTAGCGCCTCGGCGGTCGTGGCCACCCACTTTGGGCGGGGAAAACCCCGCCGGATCCTGTTTTGAGTTTTCGATGCTGCCCAGCCCGGTTTCTCGAAAGTTTTGTGTGTTAACGGATTCAGATTGCCCCAATTGATGTTTCTCTGTCTCTCTCTCTCTCTCTTTTTTTTTTTTTTTTTTTTTTTCGAGACAGTCTCGCTGTGTCGCCCAGGCTGGAGTGCAGTGGCACTATCTCCGCTCACTGCAACCTCTGTCTCCTGGGTTCAAGCAAGCACATCCAGCTAACTTTTGTTTTTGTAGTAAAGACGGGGTTTCACCATATTGGCCAGGCTTGTCTCTTAATTCCTGACCTCAAGTGATACGCCCGCTTCGCCTCCCAAAGTGCTGGGATTACAAGTGTGAGCCACCACGCCCGGCCCCAATTTCTTTTTTTATGTTTATTTTTCTTGAGAAAGGGTCTCCCTCTGTCACCCAGGCTGGAATGCCGTGGCGCCATCACTGGCAGCCTCGATCTCCTGGCTCAAGCGATCCTCCCCGGCACAGCCTTCCAAGTAGCTGGGACTACAGGCCCATGCCACCAGACCCAGCTAATTTTTTTAAAAAATTGTTTTTGTATAGACGAGGTCTCAACTTATTGTCCAGGTTGGTCTCGAACTCCTGGGCTTAAGCCATCCGCCCACCCTGGCTTCTCAAAGTGCTGGGATTACAGAAGTGAGCACCATGCCCGGCCTGCCGCAAATTTCTTTCCCCACCAGCAAAACAACTTTGCTTTATTTCCTTAAAATACAGCATCTCTTGGCCACCTAGATGTGGAGCCCGGTATAGACTGTGGCTCTTCTCTACCCATGGATTGCTCAGGGGATGTTCCTGTCTTGTGGCATGTCCCACCCTTTCTTTCCTTACCTCATGCCCCTACCCTGGTTACTTCTCTTTCATTTGGTGACTGGTTTTCCCTGCTGCTGGTCTTAACCTCCCCCTTCATCTGTGGAGTAAATTACAGTACTCTTGGGCAGATCCTGATTGAGTGACTCAGCTCCAACCTAATTAGCAATTCCCTATTGCTTAGCAAGTACACATGCCCAGGCTGGGCGTGGTGGGTGGCTCATGCCTGTAATCCCAGCACTTTGGGAGGCAGAGGCAGGAGGTTTGCTTGAGTCCAGGAGTTCACGACCAGCCTGGGAAACATGGTGAAACCCTGTCTCTACTAAAAATACAAAAATTAGCCAGGCGTGGTGGCATGCACCTGTAGTCCCAGCTACACAGGAAGCTGAGGTGGGAGACTCACTGGGTGGGTCTGGGAGGTCGAAGCTCCAGTGAGCTATGATTGCACCACTGCACTCCACCCTGGGTGACAGAGCGAGACCCTGTCTCCAAAAAAAAAGGAAAAAAAAGAAAAAACATGCCCTGTGGCCGACCAGCTCTTCCAGCTTTCTCTTCTGCCCCGACGCCAGCCAGCTAGTCCTACTCTCCATACCCCAAAAGGCTCTGGTGCTTTTTGGACTGACCTTTCTTGGCTCATGTTTTCCCTGCTGCCTGGGAAGTGACCCCTTCAGATTGCCTGTTTGAAGGGTCAGATAAAGAAACCTGCTCAGCTCTGCCTGAACGCCTTTATTCCAGTTCCATTTATTCAGCCTATGCTATGGAGTGCTCATTAGCTATTCTCACAGGGCAGGGCTGACTGGAAGCGGTGCTGTTTTATTTGGGGCTGTAAGGAAATGCCTTTCTGGAGCAAAGGAGGCCCAAAAGAAGTGGGGGATTTGTGACTCAAGACAGCAGGAACAGCAAGTGCAAAGGTGCTGAGGTGTGTTTGAGACACAGTAGCAAGGCCGGTGAGTGAGGGGCAATGGGGGAGATGAGGTCTGAGTATAGAGGAGTCAGATCAGGAGGGGCCTGGTAGGCTGGCTGTGTGGAAACTTGAGTTTTCTGAGCAGAGCAGTGATGTACTCAGGCTTTTTTTTTTTTTTTAAATTTTTTTTTTTTTTTTTTTTGAGACGGAGTCTCATGCTGTTGCCCAGGCTGGAGTGCAGTGGCGCAATCTCGGCTCACTGCAAGCTCCGCCTCCTGGGTTCACGCCATTCTCCTGCCTCAGCCTCCTGAGTAGCTGGGACTACAGGCGCCCGCCACCGCGCCCGGCTAATTTTTTGTATTTTTTTAGTAGAGACGGGGTTTCACTGTGGTCTCGATCTCCTGACCTTGTGATCCGCCCGCCTCGGCCTCCCAAAGTGCTGGGATTACAGGCTTGAGCCACCGCGCCCGGCCTTTTTAAATTTTTTTTTAAATTTTTTGAGATAGCCTTGCTCTGTCGCCCAGGCCGGAGGGCAGTGGTGTGATCTTGGCTCACTGCAACTTCTACCTCCTAGGTTCAAGTGATTCTCCTGCCTCAGCCTCCCGGGTAGCTGGAATTACAGGTGCCCGCCACCACACCTGGCAAATTTTTGTTATTTTTAGTAGAGACGGGGTTTCACCATGTTGGTCAGGCTGGTCCTGGACTCCTGACCTTAGGTGATCCGCCCGCCTCGGCCTCCCAAAGTGCTGGGATTACAAGCGTGAGCCACTGGGCCTGGCCGTGACTCAGTTTGATAGGATCTTTCTGGCTGCTCTGGGGAGGGGCTGGGGGATGGCAACAGGGAAACCAGGGAGGAGGCTGTTGGCTTAATTCAGCCAAGAGATGATGGCCTCTGCATGTCCAGCTGACAGTGGTTAAGCAAAATGTAGTATATTGATGAGAAGGAACATTAGGTGACCATGGAAAGAAATGAGGCCGGGTGTGGTGGCTCACACCTGTAATCCCAGCACTTTGGAAGGCCAAGGGGGGTGGATCGCCTGAGCCCGGAAGTTGGAGATCAGCCTGGGCAACATGGTGAAACCCCATCTCTGTTACAAATACAAAAATTAGTGGTGGTGGGTGCCTGTAGCTTCTGCTACTAGGGAGGCTGAGGTGGAAAGATCGCTTGATTGAGCCTAGGAGGCAGAGGTTGAAGTGAGCTTTGGGCCGCTGTACTCCAGTCTGGGCAACAGAGCAAGACCTTGTCTCAAAGAGGGGGAAAAAAAAAGGGAGTGCTGATGATGTGCTGGAGCACATTGTGCTGAGTGAAGAAGCCAGACACAGAATGTCACAAATTGTAAGATTTCATTTATGTGAAATATCCACAACAACAAGCAAATCCATAGAAACAGAAAGCAGATTAGTGGTTGCCCGGGGCTGGGGTGGGGTATTTAGGGTATGGATGGGTAAAGGGTACAGGAGCTTTTATTTCAAGGTGATGAAGTATTCTAAAATTGCACGTGTGGTAGTGGTTGCACATGTTGGTTCTACACTAAAAACCACTGAATTGTCTGCTTTAAGTGGTGAGTTGTATAGCATGTAAATATCTCTGTGAAGTTTTTTTTTTTTTTTAGGCTGGAGTGAGGTGGCATGATTTTGGCTCATCACAACCTCCGCCTCCCGGGTTTAAGCGATTCTTCTGCAGCAGCTTCCCGAGTAGCTGGGATTATAGGCGCCTGCCACCACACCTGACTAAATTTTTGTATTTTTAGTAGAGATGGGGTTTCACCATGTTGGTCAGGCTGGTCTGGAACTCCTGACTTCAGGTGACCCGCCTGCCTTGGTCTCTCAAAGTGCTGAGATTACAGGCGTGAGCCTCCGCGCCTGGCCTGTAAAGCTGTTCTAATTAAAAATAATAATAACAAGGCCAGGCGCAGTGGCTCACGCCTGTAATCCCAGCACTTTAGGAGGCCTAGGCAGGCGGATCACGAGGTCAGGAGTTCGAGACCAGCCTGACCAACATGGTGAAACCCTGTCTCTGCTGAAAATACAAAAATTATCTGAGCGTGGTGGCAAGCACCTGTAATCCCAGCTACTCAGGAGGCTGAGGCAGGAGAATCTCTTGAACCCTGGAGGCGGAGGTTGCAGTGAGCCGAGGTGCCACTGCGCTGCAGCCTGGGTGACAGAGCAAGATTCCGTCTCAATAATAATAAAAAACAGGTGATAGCACATTGGGGCCAGCATGGTAGCATAGGTGAGAACTGGCCAGAGGGCCTTGATGGGATTCACTGCCTCATGGACAGGGATGCTGAGAGAGAAAAAACAGCCATTGAGAGAATGGAATTGCTGTTTCTGGGCTGGGATTGAGTGACAGTGGGGCCAGAAGTGGCTTAGGATCCTCAGCATCCAGCCTCAGGAAGAATTGTATCAGCTGCAGCCCTCTGCTCCACCCCCCACTGGAGTCTGGGGTAGAGGAGGAGGATGAAAGACAATTGTCCTCATGTTTGGGTCCCTTGCACCCAGCAGGCACTTGGTATGCATTAGATTAATAAAGCAAAGAGGTAGGCAGACTTTGTATTAATTCCATTTTCCATCTTCTCAGCTTTATTTTTATTGGCCCAGGCCCAATAGGAGGCCTTTCATGAGAGCACTTAATTATTCCCCTGTGCAGACCACAGAGAGCGGGAGAAGCTGGGGCTGGGCAGATACTGCTTGCTCTCTTGCAAACTTAGTTCCCGCCAGCATCCTGGCAGCCCTACCCCTGGGGTCTTTGGGCTCCTGCCCCATGAAAGCCCAGTGGGTTCCTTGCGGAGTGATAGGGAGGGGGCTTCTCTGGGCTAGGTAGCCCGAGGAGGTTCACTGGAGCTGAGGCTTGCGTGTGGAGAAGAAGGCATTTGTGCAGAGACCTGGGGCCGAGCATTGCTGGTGGTGACAACCGGGTTCAAAGGCTTGGGGCAGGAGTTCCAGGGGTCTGAGCAGCTGAACAAGGCTGGGGGTGGTGTGGGATGAGGTGGGCAGGGGTCAAACCAAGGGGATTGCCTGACCTGTGGTGAGAGTTGGGATTTTAACTCTGCAAGCCATGGGAAGCCCTTGGAGGTGGAGGGTGTTCTGTCTGTGGGTGTGGCAAGCGGGGCATGGGGGAGAGATAGGGTGGCTTGGGGGTGCGGAGGTGAAGACAGGGCGAAGCTACGAGATGCAGCCCAGGTGGAGCTGACAGGCTGGCTTATGGAAGGAGGTGGTAGAGAATGCCGTTTGAATGAAGCTTCATCATCCTTCTGTGCCCACTCGCGGGACCCTGCCTCTCTCTCTTCTCAGCATCATGGCAGAACAGGATGTGGAAAATGATCTTTTGGATTACGATGAAGAGGAAGAGCCCCAGGCTCCTCAAGAGAGCACACCGGCTCCCCCTAAGAAAGACATCAAGGGATCCTACGTTTCCATCCACAGCTCTGGCTTCCGGGACTTTCTGCTGAAGCCGGAGCTCCTGCGGGCCATCGTGGACTGTGGCTTTGAGCATCCGTCTGAGGGTACGCCTTCTGGGTGTCATCCTCTTGCCCAGGTCCTCACCAAGACAAGACCAGCCCTGCCCGCCCAGAGCGGTGCTGCCTCCAGTGTGCCGTGGGTGAGGGAGGGGCCTGCCCGCCCCTTGGATCAGTTGTGCCCAGCAGGGCCTATGGCTGCTCTCAGCACCGGGGTGCTCTGCTTTGACCAGGCAGATACCCTAGCCCTGCAGGTGTCTGTGGCCTTGTCCGGACTTGGCCTTTTCTGATTGCCCTCACTGTGGGCCCCCTGGTCAACTGGTGAGCAGCCTGCACGGGGGTGTGTCCAGGTTCTCGTCTCTCACGCTCTGCTTCTCCTGCAGTCCAGCACGAGTGCATTCCCCAGGCCATCCTGGGCATGGACGTCCTGTGCCAAGCCAAGTCTGGGATGGGCAAGACAGCGGTCTTCGTGCTGGCCACCCTACAGCAGATTGAGCCTGTTAACGGACAGGTGGGTGGGCTTCTTCCTTCCCAGCCCCACCCTACCTGTGGTGGCCGAAGTAGAGGGGCTGGATGAGGTGGCTCACACCTGTTAGCCCATCGCTTTGGGAAACCAAGGCTGGAGGATTGCTTGAGGCCAGGAAGTCGAGGCTGCAGTGTGCTATGATCCTACCACTGCACTCCAGCCTGGGTGACAGAGGGAGACTCTATCTCTAAATATAGAGTAATCAGTTATTACAAAAATCAGAAATTGCCAATAAGCCAAAATAACTGGAAAGTGCCTACAGTTTGCCCCTTGCCCCAGAGGTATTGCTGCTGTTTTGCTGTGCCACCTACCTAGAGAGTGTCCATCTATGAAGGTTGGGTTGCCCCGAATACAGCTGTCACTGCTGTCCTTGCTGTTAGGCCCTGGCTGTCTTCTCCCTTTATCTTGTGTGCCACTATCTTGGGGAGACACTTCAGTGAATTCTGGTGTCTTGCTCCTGAGTCAGGTCGGGTGCACATCTTTGGGCCTCATATTGGCGCCCGTGCGCTTGTTATCTCAGAGCACATCCTGATGGATGAAGGTGCCGTGGAGAGCTGTGGTGTGGTCCAGTGTCTGGTGGCATGGGTGGGAAGACCGGGGCTGGGGCCGCCTGAGTGCCGAGATTCAGGAAATCCTTAAAGAGCTGGGTCCCACGTCACCTGGGCAGGCCAGGTCTAACCATTATGCGGGCCATTTTCTGTTTCTCGTTGCGGGTCCTGGTGTTGGGAGACAAGTTTCAGTAGCTGTGGGAGGGTATAGGGAGTGAGGGTTGGAGAAGGGCCGTGAGAAGGGGGAGGCATTTGGACCGGGTCTTCAAATGGCCTATGATGTTGGGTGCAGTATGTTGGGGGGACTGGGTTGGGTGGACTCTGGTGGGGGAGGGGTTTAGGATACTGCCTGAGGGCCCTTTTTTCGTGCGACTTCCCAGGTGACGGTCCTGGTCATGTGCCACACGAGGGAGCTGGCCTTCCAGATCAGCAAGGAGTATGAGCGCTTCTCCAAGTACATGCCCAGCGTCAAGGTGAGGCCCTCAGGTTGGACTTGGTCAGGCGCCGCTTGGTTTCTGCAGCTTTGTTAGCCTCGGCTCTGGCCCAGCCAGCATTTACCAAGCTTGGCAGGGGCAGCTGCCTTTGAGGTTTGCGGTGGTTTTTGCTCCTTAAAAGCCTGATGAATTATGCATGGCTCCCAGGGGCCTGTGCAGGTCCCAGCCTGGGGCTTCCTTTGAGTGGAGCCCCGGGAGGCTCTCAGGCCTGCCTTGGTCCCCTGAGGCCTCCTGTTCACAGGTGCTGGGGTTGGGTATTAGGTGCCCTCAGGGGCTGCTGGGGCCGAGCTGGTTGGGGCCTTGGGCCAGGTATCAGCATGGAGCAGCTTCCTCCTCCTCCTCCCCATAGGTGTCTGTGTTCTTCGGGGGTCTCTCCATCAAGAAGGATGAAGAAGTGTTGAAGAAGAACTGTCCCCATGTCGTGGTGGGGACCCCGGGCCGCATCCTGGCGCTCGTGCGGAACAGGAGCTTCAGCCTAAAGAATGTGAAGCACTTTGTGCTGGACGAGTGTGACAAGATGCTGGAGCAGCTGGGTGAGTCATCTGCCCTTGCAGCCTCAGCTGGAGAGTCAGTGACTAGGTGGGCCCCATAGCAGGCGGAAGACTCTTGAGTGGGTCACATGGGTGGCTGGCAGGCAGGGCTCCTGTGGTGATCTTAGGGAAAGCTCTGCTGCTGGCAGAGGGACGTGCTGTTTCTGAGCCCGAGCCGAATGGGACCACGGGACCCAAATAAGCCCCCGTCCCTCCTGGACGTAAAGGCACGCGCACATACCTCTAGGAGTGTGAGACTTCTGCCACCTGTTGGGTTGGTTCTAGGCCCCACCTGCCCTCAGGGAGCCTCGACAGGGCCGGTGGGAGATGGGCTTGTGTCCTGGGAGGCAGCTGCAGCTCTCACCCCAGCGGCTGTCTCTGCCTCAGGCTCCCCTCCCTGAAGCGTGTCTCGAGGCGCACGGGCACGGCTGCTCCGCGCCAGCGCGTAAGTGGATTGCAGCTCCTCCCGCGCCTGCGCTCGCTGGCCACCCCCCAGCCCCTCAGGCACCAGGACTGGCCACTCCCGCGGCTCACTCTGCCCTCGTCACGGTGCCACTGGCTCCCTGGCACAGGTTGGGAGGGGTCTGGGTCTGGTCTGGGGTGGGGGTCCTGCATGGCAGACGCTCATGCCCACGCATGTCTTGCCCTCCCCACCCAGACATGCGGCGGGATGTGCAGGAGATCTTCCGCCTGACACCACACGAGAAGCAGTGCATGATGTTCAGCGCCACCCTGAGCAAGGACATCCGGCCTGTGTGCAGGAAGTTCATGCAGGATGTGAGTAAGGCGAGAGTGGCAGCTTCGGCCTTCCCCAGGGGCCTGGAGCCTGGGGCCCCAGGACACCCGCACAGCCCACATGCCTCGGAGGATGCTGGGATGCTGGGAGCCGGCGGAGCCTCCTTTCCTCCCCTCGGTCTTGTCAAACTGGGAGTCAAGCTTGGTCCACACCTGAGCCGGGCCAGAGCTTACATCCAGGTTTTGAGCGATGTTTACTGAGGTCTGGTGCAGGAGGCCCTCTGGGAAGCGTCGCACAAAGGAGTCGCCCACTGGAAGGTTCTGGGCAGGCGAGATGCCCAGAGGTGATCCCTGCCCGCCCCTCCCACCTCCCTTCCCACACAGCCCATGGAGGTGTTTGTGGACGACGAGACCAAGCTCACGCTGCACGGCCTGCAGCAGTACTACGTCAAACTCAAAGACAGTGAGAAGAACCGCAAGCTCTTTGATCTCCTGGACGTGCTGGAGTTTAACCAGGTGACACTTCCATCAGCCCGTCCTGGGGCTCTGGACCATCGGGAGGTCGCTGGGCCGCCGGACTGTGTGTCCCTGACCGCCACTCCTTCCTTCAGGTGATAATCTTCGTCAAGTCAGTGCAGCGCTGCATGGCCCTGGCCCAGCTCCTCGTGGAGCAGAACTTCCCGGCCATCGCCATCCACCGGGGCATGGCCCAGGAGGAGCGGTGAGTGCGAGCCACCCGCCAAGGCTGCAGGGAGCACCACCCAGGAGCCCAGTGTCTGACGGCCTCCACTTGTTTCTCCTGCACCCCAGCCTGTCACGCTATCAGCAGTTCAAGGATTTCCAGCGGCGGATCCTGGTGGCCACCAATCTGTTTGGCCGGGGGATGGACATCGAGCGAGTCAACATCGTCTTTAACTATGACATGCCTGAGGACTCGGACACTTACTTGCACCGGGTGAGCGGCCTCACGGGCATGTCGCTTTCCCCTGGCGGTGGGGTGGGGCCCCAACCCTGCTTTTCCTCAAGTCCTGAGGTGTTATCTGTGGCCTGACCCTGATCCTGTCTGCCTGCAGGTGGCCCGGGCGGGTCGCTTTGGCACCAAAGGCCTAGCCATCACTTTTGTGTCTGACGAGAATGATGCCAAAATCCTCAATGACGTCCAGGACCGGTTTGAAGTTAATGTGGCAGAACTTCCAGAGGAAATTGACATATCCACATACAGTAAGTGCCTTGGGCAGGGCAGGGGGCTGAGGCAGAGGGTTCCTACCCCGGCCCTTTGGTTCACCGCTTCCTGTGTCTTACAGTTGAGCAGAGCCGGTAACCACCACGTGCCCCACCAGTCCAGAGCCGCCCACCCGGAGCTGCCCACCTGGAGCCGCCCGCATGCAGCTTCACCTCCCCTTTCCAGGTGCCACTGTTGAGAAGCTAGAAATTGTGTGAGAATAAACTTGTTATTACGGAAACCTGGCTCCCACACCATCTGTTTCTTAGTCATCTCGGCCTTTGACGGACACCCTGGGCCTGGCGTCTGAATCACCACCAGCAGGCAAGGCCATCTTCTGTATGCATGTGTTTAATTTTAAGTGTCAACATTGAAAAGTTTGAACAGATAAAAACACATTACACAACATCCACAACCTTTACAACAGTGAGAACCTCCTGCCTGGGCAGGCAGGGCAGGCCTCTGTACCGTGAGCCTCAGGCAGTGGCCCCAAGGGGCTCTGCCAGGGGGCCTCTGACATCAGTCTTCGCTTAAGAAGGAAGCTGAGCCGCAGCACCTAGTCTTTTCAGTTCTGCAGCAGACGTGAGAGGAAAAGTCCAGGCCGGGACGAGCCCTCAGTCTGTCCTGAGTACTAGCCCCAGGTGCCAAGGCAACATGCTGCAGCCCTGGGCCAGCCCCAGTACTTGCCCTGGGTCACAAGGTGGAGGAGAGAGGCAGCCAGCAGTAGGACCAGTGGCTCCGGCTCCACCCCACTGGGTGTCCTGGGCTTTGATGCCAGACTATAGCTGCCACTCCCTCCTGGAGGCACACACGGGGCTTAGGGAGGGAGGGTGGAGGGAGCAGAGCGGTGGACGAAGGGAAGATGGATGGTCTTCGTGTACAAAGCTGCTGCGGCCACAGGAGCTGCTGGACCGTCCAGAACCATGTGCTTTCATATGCCAGACTCTGACGCCCGGAGGGCCTGGAGAGGAGAGCCCAGTGAGACCTGAGCCCTGCCAGCCCTGGTGCCTTCCTGCCCACACACCCGCCCCAGGCGCAGCCCCTTACCCGGGTCTGATTGTGGCCAGTGCCAGACGTGGTAGAGGTGAATTCTGAGTACTTGCTCCCGCTGGCAACTAGGCAGGCCCACTTCCGGTATTCCTCCCGAACCTGCCGGCCCAGATACCCAGTCAGGGCAGGAGCAGGCCCTGGGACCGTGCATGCTCTTCCCCATGCTCTGCCTTTAAGCCCCACCTTGGTGTTTTTGTGTGTGTGTGTGTTTTTTTTTTTTTTTTTTTGAGATCGGGTCCCCCTGTCGCCCGGGCTAGAGTGCAGTGGCACTATCATAGTTTATTGCAATCTTGAACTCTTGGGCCCAGGTGATCCTCTTGTCCCAGCCTCCTGAGAAGCTGAGGTTATGGGTATTCACCACCACACCCGGCTATCTTTTTTTTTGAGATGGGTCTCACTGTCCCCCAGGCTGGAGTGCAATGGTGCCATCTTGGCCCACTGCAACTGCCGCCTCCCAGTTCAAGTGATTCTCCTGCCTGAGCCTCCCAAGTAGCTGGGACTACAGGCATGTGCCACTGTGCCCGGCTAATTTTTATATTTTTAGTAGAGATGGGGTTTCACCACATTAGCCAAGGCTGGTCTTAAACTCCTGACCTCAGATGATCTGCTCACCTCGGCCTCCCAAAGTGTTGGGATTACCGGCGTGAGCCACCTCGTCTGGCCTCACCCTGGCTATCTTTGAATTTTTTGGTAAAGACAGCGTCTGGTTATGTTGCCCAGGCTGGTCTCGAACTTCTGGACTCAAGCAATCCTCCCCCCTCAGCCTCCCAAGTAGGTGGGAGGATGACAGGTGTGTGCCACCGTGCCCAGGCCCCCACCTTCTTGTTGAGCAGGCAGTGCAGCAGGTAGAGGAAGGCGCCCTGCAGGCAGTTGAGGATGGTGAACACATAGGTCAGCACCAAGCTCCGATCATCGAAGATGAACAGGCCAAAGACCCAGGTGCAGCCCAACAGGAAGAGCTGCGCGATGGCCGTGATGGTCAGCGCCCTGCGGGGAGGGGGGTTGCAGTGTGGGCCCCCACATCACCTCCAGCTTCATGCCCCTCACCCCGGCCCCGCCTCCAAGTCCTCCCAGCCCCTCCTCTCACCTCGCCTTCTTTAATTTCTTCATGTCTGGATTGATTTCAGAAAACTTCTGAGTGAGCTTCCAGACGGTAGTCACGAAAATGACAGCATTGCACTGGGCGGGGGAGCAGATTGTGGGTTAGAGGTCGAGAGCGATAGTCCAGGCGGGCCTGGGCCCATGGCGCTTGGGCTTTGATGGACGGGGAGTGGGCACTTACCAAAATGATAAAGGTCACAGGCCCCAGGAAGCTCCAGAGGAAGCCCTGCTCAAAGTCCAGCCAGCAGCTGTGAGGTAAGGGAGGGGTCCCATCAGTGTCCCAGGAAGCCAGAAGCAGAACCGAGGGCAGCTGGACATCGTGCGTGGCACTGCTTGTGAGCCCCGGGCCTAGCACCCCGCCCTCCCCCTGCCCCACCTCGTTGCACTCACTATCTGGGGCGGCCGTAGCCCTTGCTGTAGACGGCAGCCGAGACGCCCACGATGAGCAGGGGCACGCCATAGCCGATCAGGCAGAGCCAGCGCGTACTCAGGCCCTGGCCCTGGAACACGCGCACCACAAGAAAGTAGAGCTCCAGGCCCTCGAGGCTCATCCAGCAGAAGGCGGCCAGGAAGCAGTAGTGCAGCAGCCCGGCCACCAGGCGGCAGCGCAGCCCCACCTGCGGGGCGGGGACGGAGGGGCGGGGCGACGTCAGCGCGGGGCGGGGCATGCGGCGCCAGGGCCCGAGAGTGGGCGGGACCACAGCCGAAGGGTGGGCGGGTCTGGAGCCGGGCCAGGCTCCCCTCCAGGGCCCATCCCCAACAACGCGCAGAAGCGAGCGGGGACTCGGGGCATGGCCAGGCGGCTCCAAGGCCAGCGCCCTTTAAAGAGACAACCCGACCCCCCAGTGGGCGGGGCCAGATCCCGGGCAGGGGCGGGGCCTCATGCCTCCAGGGCCCGCCTACCCGACCGAGCCCCGGGAGTGGGCGGGGCTAACCCCTCCCAGGTCTCCCTGACCCCAGAGCTCAGGTGGGAGCCGGGCGGGACCTCACCTGGCCGCCTTCGTTCTCAATGCCGGCCAGGAAGATGGTGGAGCCCACGAAGAGGCAGATGCAGAGGTGCAGGTGTATGGTGGTGCGCGAGCCCTGGATGGGCCGCACCAGCAGGAAGGTGAGGATGCACAGCAGCAGGCAGAAGAGTGACAGCGCCAGTCCCACCCTGGTGATCAGGGACAGCTTCCAGTCCTAGGAGTGGCACCGGGTGCTCAGGGTTCCTTCAGGGCCTGAGGCCTTTCTGCCCTCTTTGTGGTCCCTTTTCCGCCAACACTCTGACGGACCCACCTCTCTGACCTCCTCCCTTGTCCCTCCTAGATCTGGCCACACTTACCAGCTGGCAGGGGAGTCTACGGATTTCACATTTTTGTGCTTGCTGGGCCTATGGCCTGGACCACAGGCGCTCCCCTTCTCTGCCTAATTGCAGTTTTCGACAAGGCCCAGCTTAACTATGGATTCTACTGAAGTCACATACAGAAAGTGGTGCTCCAGGCTGAGTGCAGTGGCTTACGCCTGTAATCCTAGCACTTTGAGAGGCTGAGGTGGGCGGATCACCTGAAGTCAGGAGTTCGAGACCAGCCTGCCCAACATGGTGAAACCCCGCCTCTACTAAAAATACAAAAATTAGCTGGGCATGGTGGCGTGCACCTGTAATCCCAGCTACTTGGGAGGCTGAGGCAGGAGAATCGCTTGAACACGGGAGGCAGAGGTTGCAGTGAGCCAAGATCACACCACTGCACTCCAGCCTGGGCGACAGAGCAAGACTCTGTCTCAAAAAAAAATAAAAATAAAAATAAAAATTTTAAAAGGCCGGCATGGTGGCTCACACCTGTAATCACAGCACTTAGGGAGGCCAAGGCGGGTGGATCACCTGAGGTCAGGAGTTCAAGACTAGCCCGGGCAACATGGTGAAACCTTGTCTCTATTAAAAATACAAACATTACTCAGGCATGGTGGTGATTACACCTGTAATCTCAGCTACTCAGGAGGCTAAGGCAGGAGAATCCCTTGAACCTCACTAGCTGAGATTGCGTCACTGCACTCCAGCCTGGACGACAGAATGAGACTCCGTCTGAAATAAAAAAGGCAAGTGGTGCTCCCTTGGAATGCTCTACACGGGGAGCTTTTACTTGACATCTCACAATTGGTACAGGATGGACAGGCAGAGGAGCTACTGGCTGCACCCGATGTATAGTTTCTGGGTTGTAGAGAAGAGGCCAAAGGAAGAGGATGCGAGGGGTGTGATGTGGGGACACCTGGGCTGTGCAACCATGCAGACATATCTGAGCAACCAGCAGGGCTCCATGGAGAACTAGCTGCCTGTCTGGTTGCTGCTGGACCTTGTTACCTGTGGGCGCTTGAGGATGGCCCCAGCTGCTCACCTCCAGGTCATAATGAGCCATGAGGATCGCAAAGCTGCTCAGGTGGCTGCATTGGCAGGTGGTGCTACCGTTCTTGCTGCCCAGCACCCGGCAGCCCTCGGTGGCCCAGTGCCCTCCCCTGTTGCTGTCACTCTTCCAGAAGGCACAGATCAGCTCCTGCCGTGGCCCAGGCATCACGTCCTGTGGGCAGATGGGGGTGGTCAGAGAGGTTGGCCTGGAGCTCACTCTTAGGTCCTGGGCTTGCGCTGAGCCCAAGAGGGCTGCTTGTTTACTAGATGAGTATTGACTGAGCGCCTACTGAATGTAACAGTTTGGAGACACAGCAGTGAACGCCGCAGACACAAGCACCTACCCTTGTGAGGTTGACATAAGAGTGGGAGAGGAGGCCGGGCACAGTGGCTCATGCCTGTAATCCCAGCACTTTGGGAGGCTGAGGTGGGCGGATCACCTGAGGTCAGGAGTTTGAGACCAGCCTGGCCAACATGGCAAAACCCCATCTCTTACTAAAAAATACAAAAATTAGCTGCGCGTGGTGGCAAGCACCTGTAATCCCAGCTACTTGGGAGTCCCAGGCAGGAGAATCGCTTGAACCTGGGAGGTAGAGTTTGCGGTGAGCTGAGATTGAGCAACTGCACTCCAGCCTGGGTGGCAAGAGTGAAACTCCATTTCAAAAAAAAAAAAAAAAAAAAGTGGGAGAGGCAGATTATGTCATAAACCT